GACTCTGGCCGGGCAGCAGTGGTGCATGCCTTTAATCCCAGCACTCGGGAGGCAGAGCCAGGCGGATCTCTGTGAGTTCGAGACAAGCCTGGTCTACAGAGCAAGATCCAGGACAGGCTCCAAAGCTACACAGAGAAACCCTGTCTCGAAAAACAAAACAAACAAGCAAAAAAAGACTCTACCTACCTGGAGGACAATATTCCCAACAGTCCTCCCTAGAGCCTATAGAAGCAATCCCTTATTAAGTTCCCAGTCTAAGCCCTCAGGTGCCTCCTGGGTACCCTGATTCTGTATTCATTGTGTCTGGTATGTGACAAAGACCAAGCTTTAAGCCTCCATAACTGATAAATAAATATTATAAATAAATCACAACAAACTATCGAAGAATATGCCTAGTGCATAGAAAAAAAAACCAAGATAATCCTTTTCAACTGTGGGATCGGTGTTAATTAAAATATATAGGGTGGGGCCAGGTATGGTGTAGGGTGCCTTTAATCCCAGCACTCAGGAGACAGATCCAGAGGCAGGAGGATGTCTATGAGTTCAAGGCCAGCTGGGTCTACATAGTGCGTTTGAAGCCAGGCAGGAAAACAGAAAGTACAGCTGGTGGAAAGATTTATCAATACTAATGAAGACTACAGTGGTACATGAGTGTATTCAGATCACATCGGGAACACCAGACCCACAGACTTATCTATCAGACACACGGCAGCATGACACAGTGAGACTCTGCTCAAAAGAAAGAAAGATAGACATGAATATGGGAGAGGGAGCTCAGGGGTAGCAGTGAACTCTTTCCGGAAGGTACTTTCTCCATATGTTTGTCGTCCACAAGGCCTGGGTCAGTACCATCCGGACTCATCATTATCATGTTACACTTGGGAAGAAACCCCTCAAGAGGCCGGACAGTGAAGGAGCACGCCTTTAATCTCAGCGCTCGGAGGCAGAGGCAGGTGGATCTCTGAGTTCGAGGCCAACTTAATCTACAGAGTGAGTTTCAAGACAGCCAGAGCTACCTACACACACACACACACACACACACACACACACACACACACACACACAGAGCCATTTCTTGGGACAGGGGAGATGGTTCATTCAGTGGCTAAGAAGACTGTCTACTCTTCCAGAGGACTCAGGTTCTGTTCCCAACACCCATGTTATGGCTTACAGCTCTCTATAATGCCGTTCCAGACACCAGTTATATTTTCCTGGTTTCTATAGGTACTAGGTCCGCACATGGTGGGCACACATAATTTTTAAGGCCATGCTTATTGTATGTCCTTGATTCTGCCCAGCCTTTTGTTTCTGCCTTTTATACTCAAGAGAAACAGCCTTAGATTATTATGCCGATTTATTCATGTTATTTCCTGACCAGAAATGTTTCCCGCTGGTATAACCATCTAATTTCCATTTTCATTCCGTCTACGGGAATAAAAGATGTCAGTCGATCAAGGTTAAGTGCTATGTGTATATTTCTGATAATTCTGCTAATAGCAGCACATCTATGTGCTTTACATGATTTACAAGGATAGATTCAAACTATGTCAGACTCCGCCACTGTTTTTGGTAAAGGGCTTTGGAACTGGATCTCTGGGTTGTACCTGTCAGAATCTTAGCATGTACTCCTTTTAGCCTTTGGACCTGTGTACTTCTCTGATGGCTCGATTTTATCTCCTCTCATTTGCGGCCAATCTTTAGCCTGAATGCCAGAGGTCAGAGGTCATGCTGCCTGTCATCACAGATGCCAATGAGCACAAACAGGAAGTGCTAGTTTAGTGTGCACTTTATCACTGTGAAGACAGCCGATGAACAGCCTAGAGATAAGGTGTGTATCTCATCTCTGGGCAGCAGATTACCTCAGGAGTGGAAATCAAGGCAGTTAATCATTCTAAAGGTTAGTCTTGTCTCTAGGAGCCATCCTGTTGGTGTGTCTCTCCTATTCCCCCACCACACACACACACTTTTTCCACACTATGATCTTATTCTGTGCAGCCCCGGATGTCCTGGATCTCGCTCTGTAGCCCAGGCTGTCCTGGGACTCACAGAGATCCACCTGCCTCTGCCTCCCGAGTGCTGGGATTAAAGGTGTGCACCATCACTACCACCAGGCTATATTGCTCCATTTTGAGGCTGGATAGAAACTCAGTAAAGCCAAGCCGGGCGGTGGTGGCGCACGCCTTTAATCCCAGCACTCGGGAGGCAGAGGTGGGCAGATCTCTGTGAGTTCGAGGCGTTCCAGGAAAGGAGCAAGCTGCACAGAGAAACCCTGTCTCGAAAAACCAAAAACCAAAAACCAAAAAAAAAAAAAAAAAAAAAAAGCTCTTTTGGGCCGGGCGGTGGTGGCACATGCCTTTAATCCCAGCACTCGGGAGGCAGAGGCAGGCGGATCTCTGTGAGTTCGAGGCCAGCCTGGTCTACAGAGCGAGATCCAGGAAAGGCGCAAAACTACACAGAAAAATCCTGTCTCGAAAAACCAAAAGAAAAAAAAAAAAGAAACTCAGTAAAGCCAAGTAGTGGTGGCTCCCGGCCCCAGCACAGAGCTAAGCCCTTTTAACTGTACTTGGCCTTGGCCTTCCTGAGCGGACTGCTGGACATGCCCGCATGGGTGCCTCCACACAGGTTCAAGCACCTTCAGGTAGGTTTACGCCACCCCCTCCTACCTGCTGTACCAACTGGCACCTAGGGTAGCCTGGCCTCCTACTTTTCTCTCTCCACAGTACCAATTTTATCTGCAAACACCCTCTGCCCACTCTCAGTGGGGTCAGGTCTCTACTGCCCTATCACCTCAGCTCCAAGCTTGGCTTTTAGTTTTATGGCTAGACCCATCACTTGTACTGTGAGGTTAGACTGGCTTGAGACCTCCCAGTCTCTGAGTCCCGGTGCAGCTGAGTGACTTTATGTATATCCTGACACATGGCACCCAAAATACACAGTATGAAGCGTGGGGATTCTGATGCAGATGCTCAGGGACAGGCTGTTAGCAGAGACTGCGCCCCATAATGTTTGGAATAGTTTGGGTTAAATGGATGTCCTGGAGTTTTCAGGAACTACTTTGGGCCCCAAGACATTCCAACAGGTCCCTGTTAGCTCTCAGGTAGATCTCTTCTGTCTTAGTTAGGGTTTCTATTGTTCTGAAGAGACTCTATAACCATGGCAATACTAATAAAGGAAAACATTAATTGGGGTGGTTTACATTTTCAGAGTTTTAGTCCATTATCATCATGGCAGGACATGGTAGCATGCAGGCAGACATGGTGCTGGAGGAGCTGAAAGTTCTACATTTTTTTTTTTTTGAGTTCTCCATCTTGGTGTCTACACTGAGCATAGCTTGAGCACAGGCAACCTCAAAGCCCACCCTCACAGTGACACACTTCCTCCAACAAGACCATACCTACTCCAACAAAGCCACACTTCCTAACGGCGCCGCTCCCTAACAGTTTATGGAGGCCAGTTATATTTAAACTCCCACCGTCTCCCAGGCCACTAGCTGGCCTGTCTTACGGTTCGGGTGTGACGTCACAGGGCTGAGGACTTTGACCTGCTCCCGACTGTATTTCTGGATCCAATTGCTCCTCTCCCCGCTCCACCTACCTCTCCCATCTGTTATATGAGGAGCTTGGTCTCAGAACACCCATTTCTTCCTGATAGTCTTGGGGTTTGTGCACCTGCAGTCTTTTTGCCCCTGACACATTGCACCCCAGTTACTCCCAGACATCTCACCTACAACAAGCACTTCCTAGGTCTGGCAAGGAACAGCTCCAGAAAGAGACGACCCTGAAATGGGTGCCACCGCCCTGGATTCCCCGGCTCAAGAACTTTTGTACCCACCTCATATCTGATACTCTGCCTCCTGCCAAACACTCGAAACCCAGTTTGGGATTGAAGGCATGACACACTGCTTCCAGAGCCAACCAGAAGGCAGCTTCCCAGCTCCGGCAAGTATGGGAAAAAAAAAGGCCGGGCGGTGGTGGCGCACGCCTTTAATCCCAGCACTCGGGAGGCAGAGCCAGGAGGATCTCTGTGAGTTCGAGGCCAGCCTGGTCTACCAAGTGAGTTCCAGGAAAGGCGCAAAGCTACACAGGGAAACCCTGTCTCGAAAAAAAACCAAAAAAAAAAAACCAAAAAAAAAAAAAAAAAAGGAAGTGGCTCAGTGTGGCCTCAGAGAACACAGTGGTCAACACGGGATGGTCTCTCGGCCCTAAGGGGCAGCTGTTGAAAGGAATGTCTGCGGCCAGGAAAGCAGGGACTTCAGAGGGAGTTCTGGGGAACCAGGTGGTACAGGGCCCCTCCAGAAGAGTATTACAGAAGGGTATCATGGAGAGGGAAGAGTAGGGGGCACAAGATCCCGGACTCTAACTGGCATCGTGGGCAAGAAAGCTAAAGTGTCACTGGCTCTCAATGTGGCCGGCTCAGCAGGTGGCTCTGGAGGGTGCTGTCCACTGCCATTGCAGTCTGGGCGAGTGAGTACAGAGAGCTGTAGTCTGTAGTGAAAGTGTCCAAGTGTTAGCTTTGAGTTACACTGCCATCTTCCAGGGAGGAAGGTGAGCCCGGCAAAATTAAAGAGCCAGCTCAAGGGTCTGGGGAGATGGCTGTGTGGGTGAGACTGCCCTCTAGGAAGCCAAGTCCCCAGAACCATGCAAAAAGCACTGCCGGGATGGGATAGGAGGCGGAGACAGGAGAATTGCCCATAAGCTGGCTGGCTGGCTAGCCTGGCGCACGCAGCACAACAGAAACTAAACCTCGCCTCAGAAGCTGGAAAGCAAGAACCGCCTGACTGCCAGGCAGTGGTGGCACAAGCCTTTAATCCCAGCACAGAGACAGAGGCAGGGGGATCTCTGTGAATTCAGAGACAGCCCAGGACAGCCAGGGCTACAGGGAAACCCTGTTGGGGGGGGGAACAAAACAAACAAACAAAAACAAACACCGACTCTTGAAAACTGTTCCCTAACATCCAAATATAATAAACAAACAGACAAAAAAACTTGTGAAAGACTCACCCCTTGGGCCTGGAGAGATGGCTCAGCGGCTAAGTGTCTTGCTGCTCTCAGCCCCCACAGGGTAGCGCTCACCCACCTGTAACCTCAGTTCCAGAAGATCTGACACCCTCCTCTGTGGTCTTTTACAGGCACTGCACCCCGGAACCATGTATGCAGGCAAAAAAAACATTCATACGCATAAAATAAAAATACAGCCGGGCGGTGGTGGCGCACGCCTTTAATCCCAGCACTTGGGAGGCAGAGCCAGGCTGATCTCTGTGAGTTCGAGGCCAGCCTGGACTACCAAGTGAGTTCCAGGAAAAGGCGCAAAGCTACACAGAGAAACCCTGTCTCGAAAAATCAAAAAAAAAAAAATACATATTTTTTTTCCCCTCAGAGCTGAGGACCAAACCCATGGCCTTGCGTTTGGTAGGTAATCGCGACCACTGAGCTAAATCTCCATCCATGAAAAGAAATAAGTCTTAAAACAAACAAACGAAAAGCTACCTCTGGCTGGGAACATAGCTTAGTGGGAGAGGGCTTACCTACCATTCATGAGGCCTCAGGTGATTTTGACAGAACTGGTCAGGAAAATTCCAAGGGCTAGCTTGTCAAATGGGCATGGCGGCTCGCGTCTGTAATATCAGCACTTGGGAGGCTGGAGCGGAAAGGCTGCCACGAGTTCTAGGCCAGCCGAGGATAAAGAGTTAAACGCTGTCTCAAAAAAAAATAAATAAATAAAAGCCCAACCAACCAACCAAAATCCCCAAAGTGCCTCCTTGCGAGCACGAAACCGGACTCCCCCACGAGGCTATGCCGCGGGCGACCTCAAGGGGCCGCTGCGGCGAGGCAGAGGCCTGCACGCCTTGGGGGCGTGGCCCCTCCACTCTACCCCGCTCAGCGAGGAGAGTGCGGGGCCGGTGCGCATGCGCGTTGCCTACTCGCCCGCGCGGTCGGCTGGGCACCAGAGACATCTGCGGCGAAACCACCCAGAGGAGAGCGCTGCCGGGGACATGTGGCGGCCGGTGAGGACCCCGCCCCCGCACGCCCTGGACCCGGGCCCTGACTCTGTGCTCTCCGCACCCCTGCGTTGGGTCTATCTAGTTCGGTACCCCCGAGGTCCTGGACCCAACCCAGGCCCGAGCCCTACCCATCGACCCCCAAAGGTCCTCGGCCTCCCTTTGCTCCCCAGATCCCCCTTGGGAAGACTCAGCATCACTTAACCTTACCTCAGGGTACCCCCCCCCCCCGCCCTTATCTGCAGCCCATCCCCCCGGGTCTCCAGGGGAAGCTGCTCTGTTTCCTCTACTTGCTTCTGGGGAGAGAGACACCCCATGATACCCGCTGGATTAGGCTTGCCCTCGCTTCCTTGGCCCCCTAGGGGTTCTGGCCTTGGAGATGTCCTCGCCTATCCCCTGCCCTTGGAGTATGGCCCCTTCTGCAGTTGTATTGTTTTTAAACTTGGACTTCTCTGAGGTTGTTTTTCTAGTACATCTGGCCTTGCGGGTTATACTGATAGGCACAGAGTTGGGTTTAACTTTTGGCTTGCTGTGAGCTGCCCTGCTGTGGGCGTGCTTTCTGATGGAGTCTTGTCAACTGGTACGGGCCTTTCACACAGCCCCTTTACAATTGCAAAACTTCTCCGTGTAACTTATCACTTAGTCCTCCAGACAGCCCTAGGGAAAGGCGAGTTTTGTTTTTTCGAGACAGAGTTTCTCTTTGTATTCCTGGGTCCTGGAACTAGCTCTGTAGACCAGGCTGGCCTCAAACTCACAGAGATCTTCCTGCCTGTGCTGGGATTCAAGGCATGCTCCACCACTGCGGGACTGGAAAGGCACATTTTAACCTCTGATTAGGAGCTGCTGCCCAGTACAGTTGAGTCCTGTTGCGGGATGGTATTCCTTGTAACATCCACTTTAGCTCAAATTTCCAGTCTCTTCGCTCCCAACTTTGGGAAATGTTCTGTGCCTTGATTTCCCTTCCTGTTGAGGTGCACTGGGCCATCTGTCCTGTGCACCTTAGTCTGGTCACCTTTTTGAAGGGCCCTGGCCTGAGGCTTGACAGTCACTTCCTGCTACGTGCAGGCTGGCTCATATGGACATCTTTCATCTTCTGCTAACCCACTGAGTTTGGCTGTAGGGTTTTCCTTAGAGCATGATGAGTTTTGCTGCTTCATGCAGTCATTGGAGAAGAACTCTGTTTCTGCAGACAGATTGTCCACACAGTCCCTGTAAAAAGCATGAGAACTACCAGGCACGGGGGGTGGGGGGTGGGGGGGTGCGCACAGCACTTGGGAGGCACAGGCAGGAGGATTTCTGAGTTCAAGGCCATTCTGATCTACACAGTGAGTTCCAAGCCAGCCAGAACCATATAGTGTGACCCTGTCCTTAAACAAAACAAAACAAAAAAACAACAACATGAGAACCAGGTACAGGGAGCTTATGGCACTGTCCAAACTGGAAGGGGTGAAGGGGCTGTGGGACAGTTGTAGACCATCATCACCACAAGCTGGTGAGTATGGACCTGGTCTCCTGGTGGAAGAGAACGCACTGACAGCCGTGTGGTGGCCGTGTTCTGAGCTGCCACCACCAGTGGAGCTGTGGGCATCACAGGGACCTGGACAGGAGGAGGGTCATGGCAGACAGAGACGTAAGACTCTGGGGTCACTGCAAGAATAAAGTTTGTATTTCCCCCACTACTGTTTATATAGCGTTGAACTCGCTGGCGCCACAGGCAGAGCCTCTTATCCGAGTCCTTCCTTCTGCACTTCCCTGCCCCTGTGGCCTTGTTTTGCCCCAGAGGACACTCCTCCTTGGCCTTAGCTCCTGCCTGCAGTTTTCCCCACAGCCATGGGGCTGCTGCATGTGGGTCAGGGTTTGGGCTTGAGAACGGAACTGCAGACCATCTGGACCCACAACACTGGGTGGTTTTTGTTTGGGCTTTGTTTGGATTTTGGCAGGTCTGGCTGTAGGTTTGACACCCACCCACCCCCATGCCTTTTGGGGCCTAAGATTCTTTCTCATTTGATGGGGATTTGAGAAGATAGCTTAATGGGTGCTGGGTAGCCTATCCTAGAAGGACCCAGGCATGTGAGTAACCCTCGGAGGGGGTGGTAGCTCTGGGGTTTTCAGCACAGGGCTTTATCTACCTGACATCATGACTGTTATCTCCCACCTGACTGTGACCTTTTGCTGTAGATAAGTCCTGATGGGGTAGAGGGCATTACAGGTACCTCCTAAAAGAATCTTTGTTCTACATCCTGAGTGGGGAAGGTTAAGAGGCAGCCAGAGCCCTTCAGTTGCAGTGCTAATTCCTAAGAAGTTACGGGGGGTGGGGTGGGGAGGGTGGATGGCCCCTGACCTTGCCTGCAAGAGCAGTTTGTACCATGCTGGCAATGGGGGAGAAGGCAGTGTGCTCCAACCAGTCCTTCCTCACCAGAGCCCCGACAGTGGTAGTCATTGGGAGCTGGAGCCTCCCGTATGGTCAACAGCAGCATGTACCTTTAGTGACTTACCTGTGCGTTCTCAATGTGTCCATCTCCCCAGCCTTTTAGAGATAAGAGGTGTGACACAAGTCCCCTTCTGGGCATGGGTGGACTGACTTGGCCAGCCTTGTCGCCTCTGCACTATGCCTTCAAAAGGAGGTTGCCATCTAGACACTGTATTGTCCCTACATCACCAGAAAACCCAAGGTGCCACTGACAGCTGGTGCTTAGCTGAGGCAGCACGGGCCTCGTTGGAGATGAGCGATCCTGAGACACTTCTGAATCTCCCTGAAGGACCTTGTCTACATGGAAGTTTTGGGTCATGAACAATGAGCTCTCTCAGCTTGGAGCTCTGGGCTGCTCCTTTACGTCAGCAAGGGGCTTATATAGGCCCTTCCCGCTCAGTCTTGGTGTAAGACTGGGGCTTCATGCTGGCTTCAGCCTGGGATTCTGGACAGGTTTTTGAGTCTGAGCTCTGTCCAGCACAGAGGGCTTCCGTGTGTGAGATTTCCCGGCTTCTGTTGCCTTGGGTAATGTATATAGCCTGCCTTACTCTTTCAGCTTCCGCCTGTTGGCAGAGGGTTTGTGCATCCTCTTGTGAGTGATAAGTCTCAAGGACCCGAGGCCTGTCCGCTTTAGTCATTCCACGCTTCTCTGCTCTCAGCAGTGACAAGCCTGATTCAGTGGCCCCCCTTGAAATCTCAGCCAGTCCTCTCCTGCCCTTTTGCCCCAGCTACTGAAAGTCTTTCTGCATTCTCAGGGTGGAACCTGTCTGCCTCTGTTGGAAATGGTCTGATTTCCCTACTGAGAGAAGTAAACTGGGTTTTTTCCCCATTGGAAAAGCAGTGGGGCCGAGTGGTGGTGGCGCACGCCTTTATTGCCAGCACTTGGGAAGCAGAGCCAGGTGGATCTCTGTGAGTTCGAGGCCAGCCTGGTCTACAAAGTGAGTTCCAAGACAGACTCCAAAACTACACAGAGAAACCCTATCTCGAGGAAAAAAAAAAAAAAAAAAAAAAAAAAAAGGAAAAGCAGTGTGTGTTGAGGGGGTGGGGTGTGTGTGTGTGGTGGCACAGGCCTTTAATTCCAGCATTCAGGAGGCAGAGGCAGATGGATCTCTGAGTTCAAGTCCAACCTGGTTTACAGAGCTAGTTCAAGGATAGGCAGGGCTACACAGAGACATTCTGTTTTGAAAAGAAAGAAAAGGAGGAGGAGGAAGAAAAGGAGAAGAAGGAGAAGAAGAAGAGGAGGAGGAGGAGGAGGAAAAAGAGGAAGAGAAAGAGGAAGAAGAGGAAGAGGAAGAAAAAGCAATGAGAAGCTGATACTCAACAAACAATTCAGTCTGGAAAGTGGACTCGGGATTCTTATCTGTGTTAGATGGAGAGAGCTGAGGACACTGGGGACCAGCTCAGAACTGGCACAGGGCCAGAGCCTTGGAGTGCTATGTGGGCAAATCCTTGATCCCAGTGTGGCCTTGGTGCTTGCCTGCTGGACACATATTCATAGTGTTTGGTATGTTAGGCAATGCTCCAAGGGTTTATAAATCATTTTTGTGAGCTTAACTCACTCTTTTATTATGCAGTGATCCATACTTTGCAAAGCAAGAAACTGAGGCTTATTGAGGAAAATGAACTTGGTTTGCATAGATAAATGCTATAGCCAGGATCTTCTCCAGAGTCACCCAGGGGCTTCATTTGCTCTGCTGGTGTGAATAGCATCTCTAGTCTTTACCTTCCTGGTCCTTAAAATCCCCTTCTCCCATGATAACCCAGGCTATGGTGAGACCCTCTTTCAACAAAACAAAACAAGAAACCCTAAAAAGCACAATTTCCCCAAGTCAGGTCATAGTAAGAGTCTCTAGCTGATGGCAGATATCCCAGGCACAGAATCATCTCAGATTAGGGGCCCTGCTCTAAAATATCGGTCTCATTTGCAGAATGCTACCTCCTATCCTGGGATTTTGTTATTATAGAAAATCTTTTGTAACGTTTTCCCCTTGTGCTACTGGGTAATGAACCAGGTCTTGTGCATACTACCCCTTTTTACTTTTTTTTTTTTCCCTCGAAACAGGGTTTCTCTGTGTAGTTTTGGTGCCTGTCCTGGATCTCACTTTGTAGACCAGGCTGGCCTCGAACTCAGATCCACCTGACCCTACCTCCTGAGTGCTGTGATTAAAGGCGTGCACCACCACCGCCCGGCCCTTTTTTACTTTTATTTTGAGTCAGGGTTACTTGTGTACACCAGGCTGGCCTCAGACTCACTGCGGCTCAGACTGGCCCTCAAACGTTAGTGATTCTCTTTCCTCGGCCCACTAGGTATTAGGATTACAGGTGA